ATGGTGAGAGATAGAGATTCAATTTCATTTTGTTGCATATGGATTTCCAGTTCTCCCAGCACCATTTGTTGAAGATGCTATCCTTTCTCCATTGCATGTTTTTAGCACCTTTGTCTAATATAAGGTAGTTGTAATTTTGTGGATTTGTCTCTGTGTCCTCTATTCTGTACCATTGGTCTACCAGCCYGTTTTGGTGCCAGGATCACAGGCTTTTTAAAAGTATTTTATTTAGAGACAGGGTCTTGCTAAGTTGCTGAGGCTGGCTTTGATCCTCGTACCTACCTCAGCCTCCCAAGTCAATGGMGTTCGAAAGCACATCTTTTTGTCATATTTATCCCTGAATATTCACTCTGCAGCCATACTAGAGATTGAACCTAGGTGCACTCAACTGCTGGGATACATCCCAGCCCAATTTATCTTCAGACAAGGGCTCCCTAAATTGCCCAGGCTGGTCTCAAATTCCCAATCCTCARCCTACCAGCTAGTTGGGATTACAGAGGTACACCACACTCCTGGCTTTTGGTTTTTGTTTCTGCAGTACTGGGGTTTGAATCCAGGGCCTCTCRTATGTTAGRCAAGTGCTCTACCACTGAGTTATATCCCTAATCCAAATTTATTTTGAGAAAGCTAAATTGCCCAAGCTGGCCTCCAATTTGAAATCCTCCTGTCTCAACTTCCTGTGTAGCTTGGATTACAGGCATGTACCACCATGTCTGGTGTGCACCCATGTGTGGGACTGTGTATGTGTTACTGGGGATGGAATCCAGGGGGCACTCTACCCCTGAACTTCATACCTAGTCCTTTCTGATTTTGATATCGGATCTCACTAAATTGCCCAGGCTGGCCTCAAGCTTTGGATCCTCCTGCTTCAGCCTCCTAAGTCTGGAATCACAGGTGTGCTCCACCAAGAGCTAGGTCTGGGGTGTGCTTATAGGCCCAGCTGCTTATGAGGCTGAGGCAGGAGGATCACTTAAGCCCTAGAGTTAGAGGACAGCCTGAGCAATACAATGAGACTGTCTCTCAACAAAAAAAGTTTTATTTTTTGTTTTGTTGCAGTACTGGGGCAGGGCTGTGTTTTCTCTCCAGAATTTGGAAATTTCCAGAATTCTTTTTGTTACTAATTGCTCATTTCATCCCATTATGATGAAAGATTATCTCTTAAAATTTGCTAAAGTGGTGGCACATCACTACAAGGGAGGCTAGGCAGGAGGATCTCGAGTTCAAGATCAGCCCAGGCAACTTTCGAGACCCTGGTTCAAAAATAGGGGTTGGGAATGTAGCCAGTGGCTCAACCCATAGTACCACAAAAAGRAAAAAAAAAGGAATATTTGGGCTAAAGTATAGCTTAAGTGATAGAATGTTTGCTAGCCTGTGTGAGGCTCTGAGTTTGAGCCCCAGCACTACAAAAAGGAACAAATAGAAACATTTGGGTCTGGGGTATAGCTWGGTGGTAGAGTACCTGCCCAGGAGATCCTAGGTCTGATCCTTTCAGCACTGAAAGGAAAACACAGTGAAGAACGGAAAATAATAATCACCCATGCCCCAGTTCGACACATTGCAGTGTGCAGAAAGACCCCTTTGACTTGGAGAAGGGAGGGGCAATTAAACACAGGCCTTAGCTGGTAGGCACACCTATAATCCCAGTGGCTCAGGAAGCAGGCAGGAGGATTGTGAGTTCAAAGCTAGCCCCAGCAATTTAGCTATCTCTAAATAAAATATAAAAAGGACTTTGGATGTGGCTCTCCTGGGTTCAATCCCACTATCCTCTACCTATCCCCGTCAACCTTCCCCCCCAAAAAAAACCCACCACAGGCCTTAGGCTTAGAGCTCAGTATTAGGCCCCTCATAGTAAAGCCCAGTGATGGGCAGAGTGCCACGGCCCTTGGTCCAGTACCTATAGACAAAKCCTCTAGAGCCTCCCCAGAGCCAGGTAAAAATCTTGATTTCAGGGAGCTAGACTTGTATTTCAGACTGCAGCACTGCTGGCCACRTGATGGACCTGTATGGTGTCCTCAGCATCTGCCTTGGTGATCAAGGAATGGCTTCCAACATCCACATTGGGCACAGCATGGAGAAAGACTTATCTACTGATAAGACGGATGAGGGCTGGGGATATGGCTCAAGCGGTAGCACGCTCGCCTGGCATGCGTGCGGCCCAGGTTCGATCCTCGGCACCACATACCCACAAAGATGTTGTGTCCGCCGAGAACTAAAAAATAAATATTAAAAATTCTCTCTCTCTCACTCTCTCTCACTGTCTCTTAAAAAAAAAAAAAATCTTAAGACGGATGTGAGTGGAAGAATTTCCTTGGTACTCAGTGCTGGGCCAGTGAAACTCAACACTGGGCAGAACTCATTGGTCCCTTCCCCAGGCTAGTACACAAATTTGGTCTCTGGATCAAGCGCAACACCTTGCAGAGACTGCAGCCCCAGTAAAATGTACTTATGTTCCAGCCTAACATCACCCCTCCTGGCTGCAGTGGTCTCAGGCCATAGGAGATGACAGTAGCAGGCAGGTCATAGYATCATGGGCCTTGGTCTCTGTAGCTTCAGGTTTCTGGGTATGATCTAGCATTGCAGTGGCTCTGGTGGCAAAGGGACTGCCCACCTCCTTTCTCCTCCCTCCTCCCACCCAATCAGCACAACACAGTGATTGTCCATATAGGGGAAGAACAAGAATGTGGACACAGATATGGCTGTGAGTCCCAAATAGTATATGCCATTGAGGCCCAGTGCTGGTCAGAATTCCATAGTACCAGACTGCAGGCCAGTGACTGTAGACAAGGCATCAGGGTCCATCCTGCTCCAGGTGGAGACACATGGACCCAGTGGAGATGGACTACCCTCTCCAGACACTCCTCAGATGCATCCTGAATAATAACACTGCAGATTCAAGGCGAGTGTGTGTGTTGATGGGAATTGAACTCCTATACATGCRAGGCAAGCACTCTATYAACTGAGCTATTTCTCCAGCCCCAARGTAAATTTTGACTTGGGGCTCCCACTAACACTAAAATGGTTGTAATATACCAATTGTAGTATCAGGGCAAATCTGGAAATTCTTTTTCTTTTTGGTACTAGGGATTGAACCCAGAGGCACTTTACCACTTAACTATATCCATGGCCCTTTTTAAATTTTTTGTTGTGAGACAAGTTCTCGCTGAACTGCTGAGGCTAACCTGAAACTTGCAATCCTCCTGCTTCATCCTTTGGAATCCCTGGAATTACAGGCCAGCATCTATGTGCCCTG